CAGCACTCAGGAGGCAGAGGCAGGCAGATGTCTGTGAGATTGAGGCCAGCCTGTTCTACACAGTGAGTTCCAGGCCATCTCATGGAGACCATCTCAAAAATAAAATAAATCTTTATAGGATGAGAATTAGCTCAGTAGCAGAGTGATTTACCTTTATTTATTATTTTCGTTTTATGTATATGAGTGTATTGACCGAATATATGTAAGTGCAACCGTGTCATGCAATGCCCATAAGGATCAGAAGAGGGCATCTGATTCCCCTGGAGCTGGAGTTATGGACAGCTGTTAGCCGCCATGTGGGTGCTGGGAATCAAATCTGGGTCCTCTGCAAGAGCAGCCAATGGTCTTAACTGCTGAGCCATCTCTCCAGCCCCCAAAGCACCAGTTTAAAAAAAAATTAATTACATTTTAATTTGTCTTTATTGGTGCATGTGTGATGAAGTCAGAGGACAACTTGCAGGAGTCAGTTCTGTCCTTCCACCATGTGGGTCATGGGGTCGAACTCAGGCTGTCAGACTTAGTGATGAGCTCTTTTACCCACTGAGGCATTTTTCCAGTCCAAGAGACAATGACACTAAAATGAGAACCTTTAGATGCACTCTAATGTGTATTTATAACAATGAAACTCAAGCCATGTGTGCAAGTGCTTGCCTGTCATCTCCACACTTGGGTGCTTTTTTAAAAAAGATTTATCTTTTTTTCTTTTAACTGGGTGTGGTGACACACACCTTTAATCCCAGCACTCGGGAGGCAGAGGCAGGGGGATCTCTGTAAGTTCAATGTCAACCTAGTCTACATAGGGAGTTCCAGGCCAGCTGCGGCTACAGGAAGACCCCCATCTCAAAAAGAAATTATCTTTTTAATAATTTTTCTTTCCTTCCTTTCCTTCCTTCCTTCCTTCCTTCCTCCCTCCCTCCCTCCCTCCCTCCCTCCCTTCCTTCCTTCCTTCTTTCTTTTTCACTCACAGAGTTCCACCTGCCTCTGCCTCCCCAGTGCTGGGATTAAAGGCATGCACCACCACACCTGGAAATTTTTATTTATTTTTATTTTATGTGAATGAGTGTTTTGCCTACCTGTAGGTTGGTGCACCCGTGCATGCAACGCCCACAGAAGTCAGAAGAGGGTGTTGGATCCCCTGAAACTATGGATGGTTGTTAACTACCACGTAGGTGCTGTTTTAAGAAACATTAGATATTAGTCTTTTCTTTCAAAGTCTGTAAAACTTGGAACTTGGTTTAGGACAAGGAATTCTAATCTTTTAATCCCACCACACCCTGTAAGACTTTTGTTTAAGGAAAGGCCCTGATATGTTCCTGAGCCTGGAGTAGTGGAGCTCATCTCCCTTTGGGGATTCTTTTAAAACAGCCAATGGTAAAGACTGTGAGGTCAGACTCCAACCAATGGGGAAAGAACAGAGTTCTCCTGCCATAGGGATGAAAGTCCCCTGGATCCTTGCTCGATCTGACTGATAACACTTTTGTAAAGTAAAACCTGACTTACTGAGTTACTCTCTCCTTTGTCTGTGTGTTCTTTCTGTGGTATTAATGGGGTCCCTGGACCTTGGATTTTATTCTAACACTGGGAACCAAACCAGGTCTTCTACAAGAGCAGCCAGTGCTCTTACCCACTGAGCAAGCTCTCCAGACTAGTTTATTTTTATTTTTTATAGTTTTAAAAAATATTTATTTATTTATTTACTTATATTTTTGTCATTAAATCATTAAAATTTTTAAATTTAATAACCATATGATTAGAAGAAGCATTTTTAAAAAATATTTTATTATTTTTATTTTATGTGTATAAGTGTTATGCCTGCATGTAGGTAAGTGCACCAGTGTTGTGCAATGCCTTTGGAGGACAGAAGAGGCTGTCGGATCCCTTGGAATTAGAGTTATGGACAGTTGTTAGCTGCCATGTGGGTGCTGGGATTCGAACCCAGGTCTTCTGCAAGAACAGTGTTCTTAATTGCTGAGCCATCTTTCCAGCCCCAGAAGAAGCATTTCATTTCAGCTTTAACATATTCAGTAACACACTCCAGAGCAAGGATACATCTCTTTCAAAAGTGGCTGTAAATTTTTAGGTTCACAGTTGAATTAATACAGTTATACAATATTGAACTTAGTATAAATCCCAGGGAAGGTGCTGGTACCAGGACACTTGAGGCTGTGCAGCCCTTATTTATTATTTTTATGTGTATGAGTGTATTGCCTGCATGTATGTGAGTGTACCCGTGTTGTGCAATGCCTCGGAGGTCAGAAGAGGGCTTCGGATTCCCCTGGAACTGGAGCTGCCATGTGGGTGCTGGGAATTGAACCCGGGTCCTCTGCAAGAGCAGTCAATGCTTTTAACTGCTGAGCTATCTCTCCAGCCCCCAGACTACTTTATTTTTAGAGAGGGTTTCCCTGTAGCCACAACTGACCCAGAACTCGCTACATAGACCAGGCTGGCCTCTGCCTCCTGAGTACTGGAAGTAAAGAGCTGGGTGACAACACCTGGCTAATTGGTTTTATTTTATTTTATTACATTTTATTTTACTTCTGTGGTGAGAATGCAACTTGGTGCCTCATGAACTTTAAGCAAGCACTGACCAGTACACCACAGCCCCACCCACAAAACCATTTACTGAGTGCTAAGCATACTTTTAGTTGCTGAATCATAAAGGTGACTAAAATATAAAAAATAATGATGGTTCTGTGGATTGCAGGTGTGGCTCAGGGGTAGAGTGACAGCCTAGAGTCCCCGGACTGAGGGAAGAGGGCATGGCTGGTAGGTAGCATCTCCCTGCTACATGCCCTAGTGTTCAGGTCATAGGAAACCACGGTGGGTCCAGGGGCTATAGTTCTATTTAGCTCTTAGGACCACTCAGACCTAAGGGAGGAAGAGCAGGTCCTGCAGGGTGAGGTAGGAGGGCACTATGGATGGGGAGGTCACAGTTGCAGACCCACACAGCTCTCAAGAACCAGTGGGCTAGGGGACATAGCAGTATGGCTACCTGTGGTCATGGGGGGAGTTCCTAGGTCCAGCTCTGAGGGGAGAGCACAGCACCTGTTGGGGGGCAGGATTTCTCCCTGGGGTGGAAGCTCCTGGCCCTGAAGGAAGTGGCCAGGTGGGACCACTCACCCATCTCACAGCAGAAACAACCAGTCCCTGTCTACTACTTCCCAAGGCCAGCTGGGAATGGAGACACTCCAGGGATATTTCTAGAAAGCTGGTCACTGACCTCTGAGACAAATGCAGGTGTCCCACACTGAGGTGCCTCCAGGAGGCCTCCTGCCCCAGTGACCTTTCCTCCCAAGTGACCTACTCCAGTGACCCTAACTGCACAGGCTGGGAGTGTCCCAGGGACATCACAGTTCCCAGAAACAGAATCACTCCTCCATGGCACCCAGTGCCACATTAATGAGTCAAAGCCAGGGGCTGGAGAGTTGGCTCAGTGGTTAAGAGCCCTGGCTGCTCTTGCAGAGGACCAGGGTTCAGTTCCCAGCACCCATGTGGTGGCTAACAACCATCCATAATTCCAGTTCCAGGGGATTCAATGCCCTCTTCTGACCTCCACAGGCATTGCATGCACATGGGTGCACTTACATACATGCAATTGAACACAAACATAAAATGATGATGATGATGATGATGATGATGATGATAATGAAAGATGAAAAAATATCTTATGGAGGTCTGGAGTTAAAAGGCCTCCTTGCTTCCCCCCCCCCCTTTGCTAGTCCCATCCCTCTGATGGGTCTGCCTATCCCTAGCTAACTCCTACTCATCCTTCAAAGCCCAATACCCATGCTCCCTGCGAAATATCCCAGTTGGTAATGTGGACCCACCATCCCGTCTACTCAGCAGGGCTGAGGCAAGAGGATGCCAAGTTTGGGGTTACCTATGAGAGTTCAAGGTTACCTCTAACACTTAGCAAGATGCCCTTAATTTTTAAAAATTAAGTGATGAAAAAAGCTAGAAGTGTAGCTTAGTGATAGTGCACTTGCCTTGAGTACCAGAAGCCTGGAGTTTAATTTGGGGGTAGGGAGTGTTGAAAAAGAAAACAGTTTGGAGACTTATGGTCAGGCAGTCTGCAATGGCTACCTTTGGGCTCCCGAGTAACCAAAAGTATATGGAAAGGTAGATTTCAAGAGGACTCAGTCCCAGCAAGGACAGTTCTTGAAGGTCAGGCCTCAAGCTCAAGATGTTAAGCTGTGGTTAAATTGGAATTGATTTTTTTTTTTAACTATTAAAAAAAATTTTTATTATTTTTATTATGAGTGTATTGCCTGCATGTGTGTAAGTACTCCGTGTGCTGAAAGGCCCACGTGAGAACTCAGAAGAGAGCGTTGGACCCCTTGGAACTGGAGTTACAGCCGGTTGTTAGCTGCCACGTGAGTGCTAGGAATCGAATCCAGGTCCTCTGCAAGAGCACCAATGCTCTTAACCGCTGAGCCATCTCTCCAGCCCCATTGGAGCTGATTTTTAAAGAAAAGAATAAAGACTATAAAATAATGACGGATCTGTAGTGAAGAGGATTCGAACAGGTGGCTATTATAAATTCTCTGCACTCCAGAACCTACTTTAGGTTTAATCCCACCCCACTTCTTGGAAATGGGCGGACTAGAGAGCCTACATGCCTCAGTCGCGCACGCAAAGCACCCTGGGACTTGTAGTTCAGCAAGGCCAGTTCAAAAAACGCATGGTTCCATGTGACTCCTAGTGTTCCTGGAACAGGCTAGGTTGACGGCAGGCGGATATTCCACATTGAACTGTCGCCTCTACGTGCGCTTTCTCCCACGTGGATACCAGGAAACAGCACGAAACTGCATGAAACGGAGGCACGAGCTTACCCACCTCACCCCCGTTGTCCTGGGATTCCAACTAGCAGCTTCGATAGATTCGTTAGCACCTCCCCGGGCCCTATTAAATCCCGCCCCCTAGATTTATCCCGTCTTCCTCTGCTGTGCCCATTCATGTGCCCGGAAGTGACCGAGTAGTGTCTGCCGCAAAGCATTCAGGGAGTTGTAGTTTGGAAGCCGAGCATTGCGGCGGCATGTGGCCCCGAGTGCTGCTCGGGGAGGCCCGGGTGGCGGCGGGTGGGTGTCGCGCGCTGCTGTCTCGCTGCACCATGCACCTCTCTGCGAGGTGGACACCCAGGAGCGGCTCGGCCATGCGGCGGAGCCTGCATGCTACAGCGGCGCGATCTTTCCCGCTTATCCCCATCGTGGTGGAGCAGACGGTACGGCGGCCCGGTAGGGACAGGCCGCGGACGCTTCTTGGGGGGGAAAAAGGAGACGCTGACATTTCACCTCTGCCCCTTTCCCACCAGGGTCGAGGCGAGCGCGCCTACGACATCTACTCCAGGCTGCTGCGAGAGCGCATCGTGTGCGTCATGGGCCCGGTGAGGGACCCTGGCCGACCTGTATGCCCTACCTCACCCACACACACACCAGGACGCTGCAGTCCTTCCTACCTTTCTCCCTTTCCTCATTCCCGTTGGCCTCCCTGACCCCAGTGCTTGCTCCTAAACTTCCCTTTTTATTTGAGCCAGAGTCTTGTAGCCCAGGCTGCCCTCTTTCTTGCCATCCTCCTGCCTCAGCTCAAGTGTCAGTGCCACCATCATGGTTTGTTGCCCCAACTATATTTTGTTTTGCTTTGTCTTTTGAGACAGGGTCTCATGTAGCACAGGCTGGCTTCCAACTAGCTACTTAGCCCAGGATGACTCTGAACTGATCCTCCTGCCTCCACCTCCCCAGTACTGGAGTGCCAGGCAAATGTGCCCCATCACACCTGGTTTATGTGGCGCTGGGGATGGAACCCAGGGCTAAGTGCTTAACAGGCAAGGTCTCTACCCACTGAGCCACAGGCCTAGTCAGGTAGTTCATTTTTTCGTTTATTTATTTAATTATGTGTATGAGGTTTTTGTCTGCATGTATACACAGCATATGCATACAATGGAGTTATGTACACTGAACTGGAGTTATGTAAGGTTGCTAGCCATCATGTGGGTGCTGGGAACTGTCAGAGCAGTCAGTGCTCTTAACCACTGAGCCATCTCTCCAGCCCCAAGTGGTTCATTTTTTTTGAGACAGTCTGGTGTAGCTCCAGCTAGTCTTAAACTCACTAGGTGAGATTGGCCTTAAACATCAGATGCCCCCTGCCTCTATCTGCTGAGTGCTGGGATGACAGACATGCACCACTACACCTGTTTTATGGGGTACATGCTAGCAAGTGCTCTGCCCACAGAGCTGCAGCTCCAGTCTCCACCATCTTAATTGTAATTGCTTTCTTTCCAGTATCTGGGGCTCCCCAATGGTCCTCTTCTATCCTCCCAGGTCCAAACGTCCTCCTTTCTCCCCTCTTGGGTTCTGAATTCTTCCAGAACCTTCCTGTTTGTTTCTGACTCCTCCTTTCTGGTTCCTAAAAGCCCAGCCCCTTCCCCCACTGCACCTTTCAACCTGGGGACACTGCTGCCCTCCCCTCCTGCAGATAGATGACGGCGTTGCCAGCCTGGTCATCGCTCAGCTGCTATTCCTACAGTCAGAGAGCAACAAGAAACCCATTCACATGTACATCAACAGTCCGGGTGAGCAGGGTCTACCTGGTCTTTGGGATCTAGGGTCGGGGATGCCTGCTCTCTGAGGAGCAAGCATGGAACAGATTTCTTCAGAATCCCAAAAGTAGCTCGAAGCTGCCAAAAGGTGCCTATTGCCATTTTTTTGAGAGGAGGGGTGTTGAGACAGTCCCATGTAGCCCAGGATGGACTGGAAGTTACAATGTAGCCCAGGATGAGCCTGAACTCCTGATCCTCCTGCCTCTACCTCCTGAGTGCTGGGATGACAGGTGTGTTCCAGACCACACATAATACACAGTTTACTCAGTGCTGCAGGTGAACTCGGTACTTTAAGCATGCCTGACAAGCATTCTACCAACTTAGCCACAGCCCTAGCCCTTCAAAAAATTTTTTTTGTGTGTGGAGTTTTTTGGGGGCAGGATGTCTCTGTAGCCCCAGCTGGCCTGGTACTTGCTATGTAAACCAGGCTGGCCTTGATCTCACAGAGATCCACCTGCCTCTGCATCCCAGGCACTGGAATTAAAGGTGTGGGCCACTATGTCCAGCTTTTCTAAGATTTGTTTGTATTTTATTTTATCTTATTTTTTTGTTTTGTTTTTATCTCTTTTTTGAGACAGGGCCTCCCTGTAGCCCCAGCTGGCCTGGAACTCACTATGTAGACGAGGCTGGCCTTGAACTCACAGAGGTCTGCCTGCCTCTGCCTCCCGAGTGCTGGGACTAAAGGCGTGCGCCACCAAGTGGGACATTGTATTTTATGTGTACTAGTGTTGGCCTGCATGTAAGTGCACCATGTGCATGCAGTGCCCCCAGAGGCCAGAAGAGGGCATCGGATCCCCCACAACTGGAGTTACCAATGGTTGTTAATGGCCATGTGGGTGCTGGAAACCAAACCCGGGTCCTCTGCAAGAGCAGCCAGTGGTCTTAACCACTTGTCACACAGATTTTTGATGAATGGCCCAGCCAGGGTTCATACCTGGACACAGTGCCTTTTTTCTTCTTTTACAGAGCTCTTTCTCTCTCTTGTCTTTTTGAGACAGGGTCCCCCTGTAGCCCCAGCTGGCCTGGAACTTGCTATGTAGACCAGGCCGGCCTTGAACTCACAGAGATCTGCCTGCCACTGCCTCCCGGGTGCTTGGACTAAAGGCATGCACCACCATGCCCAGCTCTCTTTTTTTTTACTTCATGTATGTGTATGTGTGCATGTGTGCATGTGCCACAGTATGGGCATAGAGGTCAAAAGACAACTTGGGGAGGGGTTGGTTCTCTTCTTTCACCCTGTGGATCCTGTCATCAGGGTCATCAGCCTTGGCTGCAAGCATTCTACCTGCTGAGCCATCTTGCTGGCACCAGACCCTTTCTTAGCCATCTCTCTCTTCCTGGAAACTTGGCATATCTGGTCCCCATGACTCACCACCATCAGTTGACTGAAACTTGGACCCTCCTTGTTGCCCCTTCCCCTACTGTCTCTCACCTCCCTACCCTAAAGACATTTGTACTTGTGGGTTGGTTTAAAGGGCCCAAGCCGAGGGGCCCTTCCTTACTCCTCCTGCCCACAGGTGGTGTGGTGACTTCGGGCCTGGCCATCTATGACACAATGCAGTACATTCTGAATCCCATCTGCACGTGGTGTGTGGGCCAGGCCGCCAGCATGGGCTCCCTGCTTCTCGCCGCTGGCACCCCGGGCATGCGCCACTCGCTGCCCAACTCCCGAATCATGATCCACCAGCCCTCGGGGGGCGCCCGGGTGAGTGGCAGCTCTAGGGATGTGGGGGGAAGTCCAGAGAGGTTCCAGAGGTTGGAGCTGGGAGTGGTGCCAGGGATTTAATATGCCTGTTTTCAGGGTGGGGCGGTAGAGTGCCTCCCTGACATGGATGAGGCCCTGGGTTCCACCCACAGCACTGAAAAGAAATGAGACTAGAAAATCCAGTGGGTGTGCCCCATGGAGCCTCAAGAGGGCCCACCTGGCCCACTTGGAAACTGCGAGCCTGAAGGCCAGGGAAGGCTGGCTCACTCTAGCTCCCAACGGGAGCTCCTTCAGGGCCTTTATCTCCCACTTCCTCTGAACACCCTCAGGGTCAAGCCACAGACATCGCCATTCAGGCTGAAGAGATCATGAAGCTCAAGAAACAACTGTACAATATCTACGCCAAGCACACGAAACAGACCTTGCAGGTCATCGGTAAGCACCCAAGGGGTCCCTGAGCTTCATGCAGCACACGCCATGTGTCAGCATTTCTCTCTGCCAGGGCATCTCACCTGGACATTCAGGACTGGGTGACCATTCTGAGACCACCCTGGGTGCTGTGGGTGTTCAGGAGGAGCATCCCTGACCTCCTCTGACCCACAACTCCTCTGTACCAATGGTCTTTTCTAATTGTGCCAGCTGAAAGTGTCTCTGAAGGCTGGGACGTGCCTCAGAGGTAGAGTGACAGCCTAAAATCCCCCAGTAAGGGATTGGGGCCTTGGCTCAGGGATAGAGTGACAGTCTACAATCCCCAGTGAGGGACTTGGGGTAGGGCTTACAGATATTTCTTGCCTAACGTTTGCTAGGTACTTGGTTCCATCCCCAGCACTACAAAAAAAAAAAAAAAAAAGTTTAGCTGGGCATGGTGGTGCACGCCTTTAGTCCCAGCACTCAGGAGGCAGAGGCAGGTGATTGTTGTAAGTTCAAGGCCAGCCTGGTCTACATAGTCAGTTCAGGTCAGCTGTCTCAAAAAGACAAAAAAAAAAAAAAAAAAGTTTAGCTGTTGCAATGTGTCCCCTAGTGGGCAGAATCACTTCACTTCTGGGCAGCTGGGTTTGGTGACACCTACCTCCCACCTCCACTCTGGGAGGCTGAGGCTGAGGCTAAGGCTGGGAATCATGAGTTCTAGTCTAATCTATACCACATAACAAGACTTAGTCTCAGAAAACCTAAATAAATATGTAAACCACAAATACCAGGCTCAGCTGGTCTACACTGTTAGAACAATGACTATCTTGGGTCAGGGAGGTGGTAAGGATTTCAGCGCTGCCTGTGATAGTCTGCTTTATTTTTTCCTTCTTGAGACTGAGCCTCCCTGTAGCCCCAGCTGGCCTGGAACTCACTACATAGACCAGGCTGACCTCAATCTCACAGAGATCTGCCCGCCCCTGCCTCCCAAGTACTGATATTAAAGATGTGTGCCACCCCCTCCCCCTTTTTAAAATTGATTTGGGGATGGCATGTGGTGCCACAGCCTCAGCATGGAAATTAGAGGACAACTTGCAAGTGTCAGTTCTCCATCATGTGGATCCCAGGGATGGAACTCGGGTTGCAGAAGTCAGGTAGTCATGCTTGCCTGGCAAGCATCTTCACCCACAGAGCCATCTCTCTGGCTCACATTTTTTTTTCAGTCTGAAATTTACCATATGGCCAGCCATGACCTTTTCCTGGGTGTGTTTTGTTCTTTGGTGTGTGTGTGTGTGTGTGTGTGTGTGTGTGTTGAACCATGATGTATTTGTGGCGGTCAATGAACAACTTTCAGAGTCTGTTCCTACAATGTGATCCTGGAACCTCATTGTATTTGAGAGATCAGTAAAAATTAAACCAATGAGGCGGGGGTGGTGGCAGAGGCAAGTGGATCTCTCTGAGGTCCAGGCCAGCTGGGGCTACAGGAAGAAAAATTTAAACCAGTGACCAGGCATGGTTGTACACACCTGTCATCCAAGCCTACAGGAGTTGGAAGCAGGAACATCAGGAGTTCAGGGCCATCTGTGGCTACGTAGTGAATTTAAGGCCAGCCTGGGCTACATGAGACTGTTTCCAAAAAATGGCAAAGAAAAAATTTGAAATAGTTTCTTACTATCAGGGAAACTGAGACATAGAGATGTCCAAGGTCCCATGGGGAAGAGCCACACCATCAGCATGTGTCTCTTAAATCAGGAAGCCAGAACAAAATGCCACAGGCCAAAGGGCTGTGTCCCAGAAGGAGAAGGCGGAGGTCAGGCTCCAGCCTCAAGGGCGCCTGGAAGGCGCTGTTTCTGACTTAAGATGGCTGCCACTGGCTGTATCCTCATTGGCCTGTTCACTACCTTCAAGGACTCTCCTTTTGTATTTTTCATTGTTTCGAGACAGTATATCATGTAGCCCAGGATGATGCTGAGCTCCTGATCCTCCTTCCTCTATCTCCCAGGTGCTGGGATGACAGGCACGTGTAACCCTATACCTGGTTTATGGGGTGCTGGGAGTGGAACCCCAGGCTTCTTGTATGCTAGGCAAGCGCTCTGCCTGCCCACTGAGCAATAGTTCTCACTACCTTTTTTCCTACTTAAGACATGGTATTGCTGTGTAGCCCCGGCTGGCCTCAAACTTGAGATCTTCTGCCTTTACCGCCCAAGTGATGAGGATCCCATGGTGGGGACCCCATCCTCACAACTTCATCTCAACAGTCATGCTCAATGCCCCACGTTCATAAGCCATGCCATTATAGCTTAGGATTTTGATGTAGGAATTTGGGGGGAGGGTCCCCCTAGGCCTTGCCCAGGTCTCTGCTCTTACCCATGTCCTGCTTTACTTCCTCCCAGAGTCGGCCATGGAGAGGGACCGCTACATGAGCCCCATGGAGGCCCAGGAGTTTGGCATCTTGGACAAGGTCCTGGTCCACCCACCCCAAGATGGGGAGGATGAGCCAGAGCTGGTGCAAAAAGAGACCCCTGCAGTGCCAGCTGACCCTCCTGCCACAGCCAGCACCTGAGAGCCAGACCTGAGCTCCAGGGCTGTGGACAGCTGGGGGACCTCAGTTCCAGGGCTGTGGACAGCTCAGGAACTGTGTCCCTACCTGCTGCTTGTTGTTGAGCCCTGAGGGGCCCCTGGAGAGACTTTGAATTTGGGGGACTGATATGCTTTCACATGGGGGCAGGTCAGCCTGGCTAAGACACTGTGATTTTAAATTAGATCTTTGTGGTCTTTGTCCTCATCTGAGACACCTTCAGTCACTGCTTTAAGACACCAGGCGCCTCTAAACTGTCACCCTGATGCCAACATGAACCATCTCTTCTGTCAGCAAATTCCTGAGTTGGTCGTGTACTGCATCCCAGGCCTCGGATGACAGGTGTGCCCTTGTTTGTTTTATGGGCTGCTGGGGATGGAACCCCAGAGCTTCCTCCCTGGCAGAGAAACACTCTGCCAATTAAACCCTAGCTCAGCACTTGGGAGGTAGAGGTAGGCGGATCTCTATGAGATCCAGGCCAGCCTGGTCTACATAGTGCCAGGCCAGCTGGGGCTTCAGGGAGACCCTGTCTCAAAAAGACCAAAAAAAATTTTTTTTGAGACAGACTCATAGAGTCAAGGCTGGCCCCCAGTTTGCCGTGCAGCCAAGGATGGACTTGAACCCATCAGGTGCTGGGATTATAAAGCACCACGATGCCAGCTTATGTGGTGCTGGGAGTTGAACCCAGGGTCTTGTGTTCTAGACAAGCACTCTGCCAACTGAGCTGCAGCTCCAATGTGGGCTTGGGTTCTTGTGGGGGTAAACAGTAAATGAATCAAGCAGCGGGGCTCAGCAGCTAAAGGTGTTTGCTGCCAACGACAACCTGAGTTCGATTCCTGGGACCCCCCCCCCCCATTCTCAGCTTTACAAGAAGCTTGACCAGGAGAGGATGTTGGGTTCCCTGGAGCTGGAATTACAGGTGGCTGTGGACTGCCACTGCACCAGCCTGTTTTTATTTTTTTGTGTGTATGAGTGTATTGCCTGCATGTGTGTAAGTGTACCTGTGTTGCGTAATGCCCTCAGAGGTCAGAAGAAGGCATCAGAGTCCCCTGGATCTGGAGTTATGGACAGTTGTTAGCTGCCATATGGGTGCTGGGAATTGAACCTGGGTCCTCTGCAAAAGCAGCCAGGGCTTGGGGGACTTAGGAAGACCCCCTGTCCAAAAAAAAATTTATGTGTATGATATATATATATATATATATATGTAAGTGCACCCATGTCATGCAATGCCCTTGGAGGTCAGAAGAGGGCATTGGATTCTCCTGGAACTGGAGTTAGGGACAATTGTTAGCCTCCATGTGGGTGCTGGGAATCAAATCTGGGTCCTCTGCAAGAGCAGTTAGTACTTTTAACCATTGAGCCATCTCTCCAGCCCTTTATTTTTATTTTATGTGCATAAGTGTTATACCTGCAAATGTGTAAGTTCACCTGTGTTGTCCAGTGCCCTCAGAGGACAGAAGAGGGCATCGGATCCCCTGGAACTGGAGTTACTGTTGTTAGCTGCTATGTGGGTGTTGGGAACCAAACCTGGGTCCTCTGCAAGAGCAGCCAGTGCTCTTAACCGCTGAGCCATCTCTCCAGACAGTCATGTAGTCCAGACTGGCCTCAAACTCACTTTGGAGCTGAGAGTGACCTTTAACTTATGGTCCCTCTGCCTTCCCTGAAGTAGTCAGAACAAGCGTACGCTGCAGTGTTGTTTTAATCTCTGCCCTTGGCTTTGGTCCAGATGTCTCTCCTCGCCAACCCTACGAGGTCTAAGTAGCATCCTTGCGGCGGCGGCGGGAGGGGGGGGGGAAGGAAAGGAAGAAGAAGAGGAGAGGGAGAGGCGGGTCCCCCGCGGTGCAGACCGGGGGTGGGGCTCAGCCAATAGGATCTAATATTGCCAGTGTCCGGTAGCGTCTGGGAGGAGGCGGGCTCAAGGCGAGCCAATAGCAGGAGAGGACATGCTAAAGGGAAGTCAGTCCTCGTGCACGGGAGACGGAACTCGAGAGAGCCAATCGCTGGAGGCGCGGTGAGGCTCTAGCCAATGGCTTGGTGAAGGCGTGGCCCGGCTCCAGAAGATGGCGGGCATCGGGTGGCTGGCGCTTCGGACACTGCCCGGGTGCGGCTGGGTGCGCGGCTCCGGCCCAGCCGTGCTGAACCGGCTGCGCGACGCGGCCGTGGTGCGGCCCGGCTTCCTCAGCCAGGCGGAGGCCGACACGCTGAGCCGCGAGGTGGACCCGGAGCTGCGGCGCCGGCGCTACGAGTACGACCACTGGGACGCGGTGAGCA